TAGAAAATAATAATAATAAAAAAAATCCTAATCGAACTTATGATAACCAAACCTAAGTAAATCATTATCAAAAGGTGCCAATTAAGCCGGGAAGACTATGTCATACGACATATAACCAAACCTAACCAAAATCTAAGAGTCTTAGATCGAGTGGGTTACCACTGTCTACATTTTATCTCTTTTAATCGTGCAAATTATTTAAATCTAGTTTGTTCACCTGATGTGTAGTTTTTAAGCTAAACGAATGGCCGCTTTGCGTCTACAACACCATAAATTTCGTTGTGGATAGTCAACGAGATCAAAGTTTACCTTCCCATCACTTTTGGGTCTCTCCCCCCCCCCCCCCCCCCCCCCCCCCCGCAAAAAAATCATCGTATACCATTCAAATGCACAGTATTATAAGCCAAGACGTATTCTAAAGTATGCACGTAGGCTGGCTGGTTGTTAATTAGTATGCAAATGTGAGTTAACCAGCAAGCATATATAAGCAGACATAATATCATTGACCCAATTTCGGGCTATTCATGCCCGTGCCACCTCTTGTGTGGTACTTAATCTTTATCAATCAATCAATAATTTTCCCAAGACTTTCCGAGCGGCCTTCCAACCACCTATTATAATCACAAATAACAAACTTCATAGTGGTGCGTTCTTATTTATATGTTAGTAAATTTAGGCAACAGTATTTTTTTTGTTTCTGGCGAATTAGATTGCATGATTTGTATTTTTGGTTGCTTGATGTTCGTATTCTGTAAACTGAAATGTTCGTTTTCTTGGTTGATTCTTGGTTGACACGTAAAATCCACACGGTTCGTTAAGAGTATTTAATGGTGTAAATTGTATTATTGGATTTGTTTACCGTAGCCTAGTTGTTTAAGAGCATCTAATTTACAATAACCTACTTTAATAAGTTATAATGATTATGCCTTTACAATAATTTTAAGAGGTTCCAGCACTACCCAACCTCCCTCATGGGAGGTGGGGGTAGTGATGACACGCAATCCTTCCTTTTTATGATGGGATTTAGGCCAGTGAACTCGGTTAGATTTTTTTTGTTACACGTGGGTAAACAAACAGATGATGCAGACTTCTGTTAGCAACCTGAGAGCTTATCCCATCCAATAGCCCACTATAAGCCTTAACCTCGAGTTTACATAGAATACGACCCGCCAATCGTTTAACAACCAGTACCCAATCACTGTTGGGTGAATATAGGCGTACAGTTAGTATTTTGTATATAGTTAGGCCTAGGATAGGTTAGGTTTTTTTATTATGTTTGCAGTTATATGTTTTGTAATACACGGGTGCAGCATTCAGATCACAACCCGTCCTCGACGCAAGTCAATTACATCCAGCGGTCAACCCCACAGACGCATTCAAAAATTTTACATGCTGTTCATTCAAAGCAGGAATTTTCTCTAATATTATAATATATTTGCATATTGTGCATATATAAGCATAGGTTAGGTTAGGTGTTTAGGTTCTGTTGACGATTATTTGTATTTGTAGTACGTGGATGAAACATTTACAGCGTTGTGGTTCGAACAAAATTAGTCAGAGAAGTACTTAAAAGTGTTCGGAAGTGTTCGAACGTCATCAGTTGTGAGTCGTGTGTAAACCGTTTTTCATTCATAAACAGGGGGTTTGGCGGGTGCATGGAATTACTTTTGGGTCTTTGTTTGGAGGACGGGCTGTTCAGATAGGTACGATTCGAACACAGGAAGTGAAAGAAGCACTCTTCCAAAAAATGCCTGAACGTAATCAGTTATAGGTCATGCATAAAGTGTTTTTCATTCATAAACAAGTCGGTGGCAGTTGGATTAACGAACATTTGGCCTAACGTTTATAAAGACAGACTGATTTTAGGAAAATATCTTTTGAATTCCGAAGAACGGAAAATGCTTCGTTCGTTTTTCGTGAAAACCAAGGAACTAGGGGATTGGAAGTGGTTCATTTAGTGCCGACGCAATAATATTGAGGTGTCTTTACCGAGCTCCATCGAGTCAGTTGCTGGCTGACAGAGCATGGGCACTGCGTGTTGTGGAAAGAATTAAGTTCGGGGTTGCAGGTGTTGTGTGATACTGGCGAGATCGTGGTTTAAAGTGCAAAAGCACTTTAAATTAGTTAGCACCTGCTCGCTGTAAGCTAGAGAAAATGGCTTTTTGTAGTCTGTTTATTGCTTCAGATATGTCTTTAACGTCTAAAGAAGCAGCAAGATATCCAAGAGACCGAGGAGCTCTTGCTGTAGAACCAAAACCGGTATCTGACGAACTAGAGCAAGAAATTATACTTCTGGAGCCTTTAAAAGCGCCTGAAAATCATGATTTAGAATGCAGAGGAACTGAAGATGGAAGAAGAGATCTAGCTTTGCAGCTTCCAAGAACGTTGAAAGAATTAACACTTGAAGTTCTAGCTTTGGAGCCCTTGTCAGTCAATAAGGATGTAGGCGCTATAATTGTGGATCCCTTGTCGGCAGCGGAAGATGTGGCTTTAGATCCCCTGTCGGCAGTGGAAGATCAAGGCGTTTTGTATTTTCCAGTAGCGATGGCGTCTTTGAAAGTTATAACGACGGGGTTAGTGTTTTAACTTTTAAGGCTGAATTTGTTAGTTTTATTAAATTTGCCTACAGTATAAGCTTAAAGGAAATGTCGAAACTGCCTAGGAATGTTTAGGAAGGAATGTTTAGCAGTTTGTGCGCAACGTATTTTATTTGGGTCTTGTAACCGACCAATTTTTGGAAGATTGTTAGGAAGTTTAACATAGAGGCGGCTTGTTGGAATTTAGTTGTTCAAATCTAACTTGGTCACTAAGTTATGAGCTTGGGCAAGTGGCGTAACTTCGCCCTCAAATCGGCAATATTTTCTCCCTACACACCTTTTCCAATGGAACAAGTTGTCACTTGTTGACTTTGTATTAACAGGATACCAACGTATCTGCTAGAGCTGTTAATGATCAAAGATTATTAAACTTGATATTATGAAATTTCAAGTCGGTAGCTTAGCTGTTAACATGGCTGATCGCCGAAAAGCGTGGATTTGCGGTTATTCAATGGCATCACTTCAAACACGTCCTCAATAGATATTAAACATTAAAATGCTGTTTTAAATTTTCTGAAGTGAGGTGTAGGCTTGGCTTGACATTTTGGTGACTTGTTGGTTATGTTATCGGCTATATAGGAAAGTAATGTAGTTCCCCAATATAAATCACGTTAAACCCATCCATTAAGATGTTGTAATTGCAGTTTGCTAACCTCATAGATGCATGGAGGGGCGGAAAGTTCCTTAACGTGGTAAAGAATAATCCTTAACCTACCGATGTTTGTCATAATTTATGAAACGACACGTTCGCCTCTTCACCGTACTTTTTATAATAAATCTTCAGATTCATGCATAACATCGCCTTGGATCTTGATGAACTTGCCGTCTTGCCCCTATAAACTGTAAACGGCAAAGGTTGTAGGCAAAACCATTCGACGCTTAAGGAAATTGCGCAGTTGTATACTTAGAGTATTAGACGTGTTCGCCTGGCACTTCAATAGAGTATTCGACGTGTTCTTTGAGTAATTTGTCTATACATTTGCCGGTAGATAGGACGCAAGGTTATACAACAGCGTTTTATTTGCAATCGTTTCTCCCTATACAAACGACTTAGAAATTTATTTAAATGTGCTGTGATTTTTTTTGTTTAAACTAGGCGTACTATGTGCTGGCAAGATATATTTTGGTAATGGAGCGTTCAGAAATCTAGTAGGTTGCAATCAGGGTACAAAAATCTTAGGCTTTCTGATGGATCTTCAGGAAGATTTAAAAGATCTTGTGTAGACTATCATGTCTTGTTAATAATGCAGTCGTCCTGCGAATTTCAAGGCTTGCATTCATCCATGCATTAACCCAACCTTGTCTTAAATTGTGGCAATATGGCGTACTGACAAAATCTTTATTTTTTTTTCAATAGGCCGTAAATAACACTTAGATCAGATTCTAGAAGGTATACCGAGGCTTGTTCATGTAGCCATGCGACTGTGTAGCCCTTGCTCTTGAATATTGCACATTATTGTTACTAATGATCCATTGTCTGTTATGTTTGTAACTTATACGATTTTGAGTAACATTATTAGATTATTTTGATGGTTTAAGTCTTGGTTACAGCAGTCGGATGGTAGAAATAGCATTATGATCAGTTGAGGAAAGGTTGCTAGCAGTCTGGTAGGAGGCTTGTAGCGTTGTGCGTGTGTCGAGTTGGAACTCTATTGCAGGTGCCGTGATTGATGAAGATTAAGCAGCCAAAGAGGTGGCACAGGCATGAATAGCCCGTAAGTGGTAGTGGTAGATATTTTGTTTAGTAAATGTATACCGTGTGCTGAGGTCGCATTTAATAATCGGGCTGCTATCGCGGGGGGAGGATAATGTTTGACAGTATGAGGGTGTCCAGCTGCAGGACTTTACCAGAAGTGGCAGTGTTGATGACTTCAGGGACTGAAAGATTCAGGGACTCTTAAAGCTCTTCTAAGGTCATTGGTTGCTTCACATTCCAGGAGATAATAAAGTAGTGGATTTCTGTGACTGGCAGAAGATGCATTCACTCTGTCTGGGTTCGCCAGTCTTTCAAATGCATCCGTAACAAGTGCTGTATTCTCGAGTTGTATTATATCGGTGTCCACCTGACCTTATGTTGGACATAAGTTGTTGCCTTTATTGGCAAATTTATAATTTGGCCTGATAGGGAAACTCGCTGGTTACTTTTGGCTGGTCTAATTGATTAGTGTTAACGTAGGGAACATGTAGCGTAGTACTTAGATTCATTAATGATTACTGCATAAATTGCAGGTGGCATTAGTGATTACGGGGCTAGGTAGCAGACACATGATTTCTAATGTGGTATATTAAACAGATTAAATCGTTCACGGTGAAAGTAATTTAGTTTTACTGAAACGATGGGACATGTTGTAGTTTTATAAAATTTAAAAATTTTCATTTAAATTTGGATTTTTTATTTTCCAGCAACGACTTGAGGAAGAAGGTGGTGAACGGGACTGGTGCGGGAGTGATCATGTCGCACCTGCCCAAGAGACCACCTGTGCACATAGAGTTCAGTGACCTCTCTTACTCGGTGTCGGAGGGCAGACATAGAGGCAAGTGTTCCGGTTCAAGTTAAAGTATGTTTGAGGCAAGAAATACATCTCAAAGGGAGAGAGTAGCTTAGGCTATTTCTACCCCCTTCCCCCCCCCCTTTTGTGTTCCGGTCTGAGGGATAGAGGCAGTCACCACGTGGGATAGGCTTCTTATGAATGTGTGAAATATCAAATTTAATGGTGATCTTGTTTATCTGCTAGAACCTTAGCAAATCCAGTCAGGGTTAATAATTTGACACTAGGAGCTATGGTATGTTTAACAAAGTGACAAGAGGGGGGTGGGGGAGGTTAAAAATTTGACAGCGAATTATGGGTGAAATCTAGCGAAGAATTAAAGCTATAAACTGGTAAGCGGTACAGGCGGGTACGTTTATAATGTAATGTATTTGACAGCATGGTTAATGTAATAGTCGGTTAAATTTTAAGTGCTGTATGCGTATCAATATTTTATTCTTTTGGGCAACCTTAAAACCAACTTGTGCAACTGGAATGTCTGCCTTACTCTTTTTTTTTTTTTTTTTAACACCTAAATTAATATTATGTTAAATTTAATGTACAAGACGGGTGTAAATTTAATGTTCACGCATTTAATTTATATTGTGAATAAAAATATTAATAATCTATAACATTAATAATGTAAATCCTTAAGCCTTAATTTGTGAGCTTGGCTCGGAATGTGGTAATTAAGGATTTTCTAGTTTAATAATGTCTTATTGGTATATTGTTAAAGAATGAATGTTCGGCTAATTAATTTCTTAATGCTTTAGTATAACCTGATTGTACTTTTTCTCCAGGTTACAAGACCATTCTGAAGGGTGTAAGTGGGAAGTTCAAATCTGGTCGGCTGACGGCTATCATGGGTCCTTCTGGTGCGGGAAAGTCCACTCTTATGAATATTACTGCTGGATACAGGTATGCAGTTTTTCTGTATTATCCTGTACTACTTTAGTTTTGTTGAAACATTTTAGGGAAGATACTAATGTGTTTTGGAATGGCATTCCGGTAGGGTGTAGTGGCAAAGTTAGAATGAAAGTCAATCGTTTGTAAACGGCGGGAATTTTTTTTAAGTAAATGTATAATTACTATAACCTACCAGAGTACAGTTCTCTAATATATTAAATATCTTGTGGAATAAATCTTGTATAATTTAAAAAAAAATTAATGCTCTCGTTTACAAATTAAGTAGAGGAAAATTTAATAAATTTGACAAGAGCTTAAAACGGTGAATGCATAAAAGAACACTATTGTATTGATTAGGAAAAAAGTATTGAAATTTGCAGTTGAATTTCTCTGTAAAGTACATTACTGTAAGCATTGTAGTACAGTATATAATTTAAAGCTACCAATGTTGACATTTAAGCAAAGTTTAGTAATAAATTTTTCTGTGATACAGTACTTTGACTATTTAAATTTATTATGGTGCATAACTTAATGTGCTGTGAAATGTTAATATTTAAGCATATTTTAGACATGAAGTTTGATTTGAAGTTATTGGTTTTGTTGGAAAGTTGCCAACTTGTCATTTAAAGAGTTGCCAGAGTACATAATATTAATGGACCCATGCTTTAAAATGAATTATTGCAGAGTTAAGCATGTACTGCAGTAGGATTTTCTTCAAACTTTCAACAATTGAAATGCATTCTAGTTACTATACTAGGAGTATTATTCTCCTGAGATTGTCATTTTGGTACTTTATTGAATATCTCTAGCATGGCAGATAAATAGCTTGAAATTTTGCTTAAAAAATGACAAATTATAAAATTTTGTGCAGACCTCTTTATGAATTAGACTTCCTGTAAAAATGGTTAATTCTTTAAAAAGCAGTATGTAAAATACCATGGACGACAAAATCTTGTAGAAAAGATTTGGCAGAAGTAACTTAAGACTAGTACTGACTGAAGTAGGTATTTTACTCCTGTGGCATAAAATTGAAATATTTTGTCAATGTAATGTATTGGTGTCATGTTCACAACGTGAATTTTCCCTAGGGCCACTAACACTAGTGGCCTTGACAGTAACAAAGCTTTCAGCCTGTCAAAGGTCCCCCTCAATTGTCCTAATAATCTTTCCAGTTGGATTTAAAAATTTAAGTTTTGGTGTTTACTGCTTTGGCGGGTATGCAGTTCCATGGGTTTATAACCCTGTGGTGTAAAAAGCATCTTTTGTTCTCGGTCCTACATTGTGGCTTGAGCTTGAAACCATTTGCTCCTCGTTTGTTACATATGATCTTTTGAAGAAATTATCTTGATCATCAACGTCGAAGTTGTTCTGCATTTGAAGTTTCGATGAGATCCGCCCTGTCATGCCTGGTTTGGAGTGTGTCCCTCGACTATTCCTGATAGTTGACTTGGCTCTGAAATGATTTTATCCGGTGTTGGACTTCCTCCATAGCAGCTGTGTCTTTCTAAAGATGAGGTCTCCTTGCCTGGATGGAAGCATGAAACTTGGGGCACACCGAAGCTGTGTGCAATTGAATGACTACCTCTTTTTCCTTAAATACAAAGTATTTGATTATTCCTAGGTGTTTGCTTAGGTTTTTTTAGGTCTCCCATTTGTGCAACTTTTAGTGAATGATGGATTCTGACTAAAAGGTCCTTTTCGTCATCAATCTCCTGAAAGGTAATGCTGTTAATTTGATATTTGTGACGTAGATTGTTGTGCCCCACATGCAAGGTTTTGCATTTATTGATATTAAAAACCATTTGCCAGTCTTCTGACCTTTTGGACTTCATGTAGATCTTTGTAAGGCTTCAATATCTTTTTCAATTTCCACTTTAATGTAAATCTTAGTGTCTGCAAATTTGCAGACTACAGTGTACTACATTTTGGCTTCATTTTGAGCTTTCTTCTTATTGGTGTTGACACTTTGATGAAGCAAAGTGTGTAAAGTATGTGTTTTATGAAATTAAATTGTGCCAAAGGAGATGTTCAACAAAATTGACTAATTTCAGGATTAGTAATGTTGTTGGGACAATCACTGTTAATGGCAGAGAACGAAATCTGCGAAAGTTCCGCAAGATGTCTTGTTACATAATGCAAGATGATCACCTCCATCCACATCTCACTGTAATGGAGTCGATGAATGTTTCTGCCAACCTTAAACTGGGTGACAGAATGAAAAGACAGCAAAAGGAAGAAGTGGTAAGACTAATCATTTTTGTTCTAATTATCATTTCCTGCTTAAACTAATTAAATAAAACTTCATTAATAATTTGTAATTGGCAGAAGTCTCATACATGTACAGTACTTCAATAGAAGCTAGTTTCTTGAATGTATACTTTTATTGTAATTTGTATCTACTGTAACTTGAATTATTAATCTGGACTATTTTATTTTTTATTGTGGTTTAACTAGGAAATTTATTATAATCATCATAGCTTAGTTTAGTATACCCTTTAGTTGGTAATTAAAGAACTAAAGCAGATTGCTGTAGATGGCAAATGGTGTGAATTTGATTTGGTGTAACATTTTTAATGTGTATAAAATGCCCAATAAAAATGGTTGCAAATCTTGGACATAATTTTTAAGAATTGTACCTAAATCTTCATAGTATATATATTTTCAGATCAATGAAATACTGGAAACCCTGAGCTTAACAGAATGCAGAGATACAAGAGCAATTAATCTTTCCGGTGGCCAGCGCAAAAGGCTGTCCATTGCCCTGGAACTTGTTAACAACCCACCTGTTATGTTTTTTGATGAGCCAACGAGGTAAAGGTTGCTACATTTCATGGGGCAGAGACTGCCTTTAGTAACTGTCACTTAAAATTTGTTTCAAAGAAATTGAGTAATAATATAATGGGTTGGTGAGATTACATAAGACTAGGTATAGAGAATTTCTCAGATGTGCAATAGTGTTACTGTACATTCATAGATGTGATAATCATTCTGGAAATGTAAATATTAGTGTGGTAGAATAGATTGGGGCAGTAGACCTGAAGAAAACTAGTTATGAAAAAGCTGAAGAATGCACTTCATTTGAAGCTGCTTTTTCTAAAAAAGGCATAAGTGGGGAAAAGTTCTTTTTGGAAAACTTCAAATTATTAATACTTTTGGCAAGATTTTAAAGCTAGTCATTCACTATTAAAAAGAGATGTCTGTGTAGGAAGTTAATTCCATAAAGGGAAGATTTTAATTAAAAATTGGTAACTAATCACGAATGCATAAATTTAAAGACCAGTGTTTCTTGGGTTTCTACCTCATTGTAGATCAGACCTGCAGAGACAATAGATTAGTACATCTGATGTATCCTATGAAGGGGAGGGGGTTGTGGGAGAAATTATTTTGGCAGTACAGTATCTTGCTTTACTTTATAGTGTGACTTGTTTTGACACATGTGCTAGACATTTTGTATTGCTAAATTTCCCTTTACTTTTATCTTGTGTATCAATTTTTGAACAATGGCAATAACTAAAAATATTGCTCCTTTCAGTGGACTGGACAGTAGTAGCAGTTTTCAGTGTATCAACTTGTTGAAGACTTTAGCCCAAGGGGGCCGCACGATCATTTGCACCATCCATCAACCATCAGCTAAGCTGTTCGAGAAGTTCGACTATCTCTATGCATTGGCAGAAGGACAGTGCATCTACCGTGGAGCCATCCACGGGCTTATTCCATTCCTATCGGCAATGGGTCTAGAGTGCCCCTCCTATCACAACCCTGCAGATTTTTGTAAGTACAGGTTGTGAAATTCACTTCATTGGAAAAATTTATATGGGGGTATAATCTTTCTTCCAAAACTAGTGCTTCTATGCTCAAAACTGTTAAATTAGTACAGTACTGTAGTTCTGGTTGCAAACAAACATAATTTTTGACAAATAATGCCACAATTGTGTAATGTTTTGTATTTTAATTTGTTAAAAATTTTAATTACAAAAACCAAGTTTACTCTTATGGCACAGGCAATACTTTAATGTATATGCAACAAGTTTTGTTGGGCAAGATTTAAATACTCTCCTTCAATAGAAATTGTACAAAACTTGCTGAAGTTATGGTAGGTTATTTTACATTTTTTAAATAAATGTATAGTGCCGGAAGCAAGAGCGCGGGAGAGGAAGTGTAGGTAGGTAAATTAGGATGCATGGGAGATACCAGAAGTACTTGAATTGGTAACCTATAACTCTTCTTAATAACTAGCTTAATGAGTAGGTTGGCTTTGTAATGTAATTACATGTGTAATTACAAAGTGTAGGTGTAAGATGAACTACACTCGTGGTGTCCAATCTTCCCAGTACTGTCATATAATGCTTTGACACTACTGATAGTTCTGGCCACTTCCACCTTGCTTGTTCCAATCATCTACCACTCTGTTTGCCAAAGTTAATTTTCTAATGTTTTTTCACCAGCTTTGTTTAGTTAGCTTAAATCTCTATTTTGTTCTAGGTCTTATCCTTTATCAATGTGGTACACTAGGCTTGTTGGGTAAGCTCTAGTCTAGAGGTATACTTTCTACAGAGTACAGTACCTATGTTTGTATAATTTTTTAATTAGAAAATTTTGGTTTTATTTTCAGTGATGGAGGTTGCAAGTGGAGAATATGGAGAATTTACCTACAAACTAACTACAGCCGTGAGATGTGGAAAGTGTGACAACCTCGGCCCAGACAACCATCTTGCAGTGAGGACCAAGCAGCATATTATTGGTTAGTTTGGTATTAAAACGCTTGCTTATACTAAAAATTGCAGCAAGACGATTTTTTTTCTTCTGTGAATGAATTGTGATGCTCAAAAATTTACTTTTCAAATTTCTCCACAAATGTTGTTCAACTTGAAATTTGTTCATATCCAGTTTTGTTTAGGCACTCTTCTTAATTTTCACCATTTCTAAATTTAAAATCTCATTTTCCTCAGGAGCCCGGGATGATGACGAGCATAGGGAGTCTGGTGGGGGTGGCAACCCACTGATTCAAACAAAAGGTGATGCACTAGTGAACATACCCCCAAATCAGCATTCTCTACTTGCCTCGGAAGACGAGAGTATTGACGATATTCCAAATTCTTTTCCAACATCTGGCTGGAAGCAGTTTGTCATACTATTCAAGCGAACATTCCTTTCAATAATAAGAGATGGAGTAAGTACAGTGCTACAGGTTTACTTTGGAGGACTCTAGATTATTATTTACTTTATTTTTTCTATATTTACATGGTTTATGGTGTAAACATTGTTGAAGATAAGGAGCTTAAACCATTGCTTTTACCCCTTCCTCTGCCTCCCCTCAGAATGTAATTGGGAAGGTTATTTTTCTTTAAACTTCTTGCAAAATTATTGCTCTATTTTTACTGGGTTATTAATACTTGAGCAAGTGTCTAGTATTTGTACAACCTTGAAAGTATTGTCCATTTCAAATTTACTAGATGGCAAGCTTAACATTTCCATTTCTTTTGTTTTAGTTCATTACTAGAGTAATTTGGAATTTTGAGCAGCTTTTCTGATGCAACAAATTTTGTAAAATTTAATGATTTTTCATGGTAGTGCTGTGATTGATCATGTAGTCATGGTAAAGGCTTTTGTAACACATTCCTGATGGTTTTGGCTCTTTCAGATGCTGACAAAGATGCGCATCTGCTCTCACACGCTGATTGGTTTGCTAATAGGTCTACTCTACTATAATATTGGAAATGAAGCGAGCAAAGTGTTCAACAACTCCGGGTGTTTGTTCTTCTGCATGTTATTTCTCATGTTTACTGCTATGATGCCCACTATTCTTACATGTAAGTAATTGGTTTGAATATTTTAATAAGTTGTCCTCGGCCCTATTTTCTTCTTTATGAAGGTTTGTTATAAATGTACATTAGATACTGTATATAACTTTTGCTTGCTAATAAAATTGCCTACATTCTCAGAACTTTCACTTCTCTTGCAGTCCCTCTAGAGATGAATGTGTTCATCAGAGAACATCTCAACTACTGGTACTCACTAAAGTCATACTACTTAGCAAAAACCATGGCTGACATGCCTTTCCAGGTAATGCTTTAAGTGATTTTCTAACCTAGAATTATAGTTTTGAGCTTTCTATTGGAGGTGGTATTAATTATGCAGCATATACCTGCAGCTAGATTGTGTAAACATTTGGTACTATTAACTAATACAATTAAAGCAAATTTAGGATACTAAAATTGTAGCAGGGAAGAATCTGTAATTTATACAGTTCAGTACTGTATATAAATTATAACCAAATGTGTCATTTTAATGTTAATGTCTTCCTTTAAAGTATTGTAGTTACTGTATAAATGAATGTCCTATGACTTAAACTGATTTTACTGTGCATTCTGAATACGCCCAGATTAAACCTAACAATTTTATATTTTGATTAATTAGCTCTTTAGCAAATTAAGCAGCCCATCCTTTTTTTTTTTTTTTTTTATCTATAGGATTAGGACCATAGTACAGTACATACAAATGTACAATGCAATTAGAAAATAGAAATCTGAAGTAATGAATTTGGACAAACCAGAAAATGACTTTCTACTTGGTACAAACACAAACTAAAATAAACCTAACCTTCCTTGGCCTAATACACTATCCATGGCTTAATATAACGTGTGTGCTATACTAGGCCTGGGAATATTTAAATTTGTTTTAGCTTAACTTTCAGAGTACCAAAAAGATGAAGAGTATGAAGTTTTACTAGCTAATTTCTTAGTATGTCAATGTTTGTACTATGGTGCAGTTACAAAAGTACTATCTAAACGGAAGGATGGGTTGAATTAAGAACTGCCAGTTTTAACAAGTGAAGTGCACCAACAGTTTTCCCAATTTTTAATATTGCAGTAATGAGAAAATCGGTAAGTCATGAGGATGATTTAAACCTGCACACTTGGTACTACCAAGCACATGCCCTAGACCACTGTGCCACATGGTCAAAAGCAATGCAATGTGGGATCCTGTGCTTTTGACCATTTTGTGGTGTAGTGGTCTAGGGTTTTGTGCTTGAGAGTACAAAGTGTGCAGGTTCGAATCCTTTTCGTGGCTCTTGCTGATAAACAAAATGTACTGATGAGGAGGAAATGATTTAATTGCGCATTGCAGTAATGTCAATTACAATATAATCATTGACAATGAATTATAATTGAAATATTTTCATGTACTGCTGCAATATGGTTGTCAATCATTATAACCAACCAGCTTACCTGTTCAGAATAGTTTACCTAGGCTTAGTTATCCCCAATCTAGTTAAAACTATATAGCTAAATTTAGAAAAAATTTAGATTAGACAGCAGAGATGTTGGTGATCCTTCAGAGATGGTGATCCATAACAACTGAAGATAGCACATTATGTCCAGTGTGATTAGACTAAAGCCTAACTATTTAGAATAATAGTGTCGCTTTTTGCCACAGTAGAGGTTGATTGTAGTTACTAAAGTTGGCTAATCAAATGCACTGCAATCCCACAGCTGGCTTGCTTCTCCCGTATGCAGCTACAATGCTTTGGTTTTCCTGGTACATGTTCTTTGGTGTTGGGCATAACCAGTGAAACTAAACTGATCCAAAGATAGTCAAATTATATTTGTAGAAAGCTTTAAATCTGTTGCCTAAAATATGAAGATGATAGAGATTGAATAGAGAATATCTTGCATCGTTGTACATAATTGTAATTAGCTAGTTTGTCACCTTTTTGTAAGTTTATGGAACTATTTTTATGTACTACAGGTGTTTGACAAAGTTTTTAAGTAATAATCCCAACTTAAAATGGCTTGTGCTTCAATTTTTAGTTGCATTACCACACTAATCTTAATGTTAGAGATTTATATTAAGCTTCTTTATTTACAGGTAATATATCCACTGCTTTATGTTCTTCTGGTGTATTTCCTAACGGATCAGCCACTGGAAGCTCATAGATTCTTCATGTTTACGACAATGTGCATCATGACATCGCTTGTGGCGCAGAGTCTTGGCTTGGCTATAGGTGCCTGCATGAACATACAGGTGAGACATTGCAATGAAATGTAATTAATGTACATGCATATTATCTAATACAGATTTACCATTGTTACAGGACAAAAGCATATTGTATTAGGCTTTTTCCCAGTCAGCCAAAGGTGATGCTCTGCAGCCATTCGTCTAGTTCAGTTGCATGCAGTGCTGTTAGTCTAGTTAAATGTGCATAGTTTTTTACCAAGGCAAATAAATGCTGTATACTGGGGCCCTTTACTCTGGATCATAATTACATACCTTGACCGGATTGATACGTGACCAGTGGTTTCATTTCATACACAAGACTTGCAGAGTATTTCTAGCCACCTTACACTTGTTTGCTGGCACTATCTTAATTCTCTTAACTCTAAATGTGAAGGGAGAGAGTGAGGCACAGGCAATAATTGCCCATGCTTCCCTATCTTCACAATTTATTTGATTATGGTCCAGGATGGAATGAAATGTTCTCATCTTCTGGCATGTGGTTTGGTTAGCAAAAAAGACTAGCAGTGTGCAGTATGTGGATGCTAAAGTAAATTTTACATGGGGGGGGGGGGGGGGGGGGGGGGGGGGGGGCAGGCCAAACCTCCTCATAAAAAAGTATCAGACCACATTATAAAATTTGCAGACGACAAAAAATTATGTTGAAGTAGAAAATGTAAAGACCATCAAGTGTCTTAATTCTAAGAATTATTAGGGAACGATGGCAAATGCTTTGTAAAACGCAAAAAATAAAGGCCTTGTATGTGGGGCATACAGTGAACATCACAACTACAAAATAAATGCCATTACTTTGCAGCCGATTGATGGAAAAAAATTGAGTTGGAATCTGCCAATTGAGTCTCGACCATTATTAAACTGTACAAATCTGTGCCCCCATTCGGAGTAGTGTATGAAAGTGAGGGGACTTCATCTTCAGGAAGACATGTTGTTTTTGGAGAAAGTTAAACACTGGGCAACAAACTTCCCTGAACAAAGTACTCTTGTACCAGGAATGGTTGAAGGTCTAAAGAGATACTACAAACTACCCCGTACACGCAAACAGTGCTGGTCTCGTTGGAACAATTTGAAAGATATTGATCCTGACCATTTATTTAAAAGGTAAAATGTAGTGCATACAAGGAGCAACAGCTTGAAGCTAAAGCCAAAATGTAGGCTGGAGATGCTCTTTCACACACATAGGGTTATGAACCACGGAGCTGCCAAAGCCTAAAAATGCTGCTGCTGCTAGCTTGCTGTCCTAAAGACCCCTAGAGATGGTGACCTTTTGGGTAAATTCAGGAATAACAAGACTACTGAAAAGTACAACCCGTTCTCGCATACTTAATTAGTATACTTAATCAGCCCGTCCTCCAAAAATGGGGAGGTAAATGTAACGGCACAAGTGCAATTATGTACTATTAATAGCAGTCGGGAATTGTACTTGTTTTCACTTGGTATTAAACCATACTGTGAGATATATTGTGAATATTTGAGTTTACCTGAAAAGCTGAATAGAAAACCATGACCTAACCTTCTTAGTGTTTGAAGAAGCATGTTATTGCTTCTCGATTACAATTAGTTCTTAGCCTATAGCTAAATTGATATTAGTTTTATAATAAAACTAAAATATATCGATAAATTGTAAAGTAACTCGGGATATTTTCAAATTTTGTATAAAATATCTATTGTTTAATAAAACAAAAATTCCTGATATTTAAAACTTGTGTATAGCAAATTGAACTTGCTATACTCCGAATTTTACTCGGCGGAATTTTACTTTACTTTTACTCGGAATTTTAAGAGACTCGGAATTTTAGGATGAAGTTTAATAGAAAAAAAGAATAAATGGGGAGGTAAATGTAACAGCCCTAAAAGTGCAATTATGTACTATATATGACAGTAAGGACATGTACTTGTTACACTTTAATATTAAACAGTTCTGTCAATTCGGAGGATGGGTTGACTTAATACAGCAATACCCTACAGTTTGAGGTCATCTTCCCTAATAGAAGCTTGCTTCTGAAAGGATAATGTTTCTTGTAAATTTTAATCGGGGGGGCAAATTTTTGGATGGAACTTTACAAGTTATTGTAATTGGAACCATTCCCACTGAAAAACTGTGCCTTGGAATTAAATATACCATCATGTGCAGTATCATTTTGAATTTGGAATACTGTAAAGCTTGGTAACTTGGATTCTGGTAAACCAAATCTCTGTACTCTGAATAAATTTTACCCATTTTGACCTTTAATCCAAATGGTAAGTTTGTTATAATGAATGCGTAACCTGACTAAAATTAAATGTTAAATTAAAGTTTTCAGAGTTCCTTGTGAAGTTGATGAACTCGGTGTAGATGTGCTCTATATGATTAAGATTAGAGTAGACCATACTTGAACATGAGTAATGTTCACTTGATTAAAATTATTGTATTAAACTTCAATTAAATAAAATAGTTGAATGCCTTGTTTGTGTATTTTCAGGGTGCCGTTTTCCTTGGTCCCATCACGTCTATACCAGTCCTGCTGTTCTCTGGCTTCTTTGTGAACTTCTCAACCATTCCAATATACCTAAGATGGGTAACCTACATCTCCTACGTGAGGCAAGTAATCTGTAAATTAGTGTGTTTACCATAATTTCTTTTTCATTAAATACTTTGCCAAATACTAAACCTTTTGGTAAAAGTCTGCAGTAGTTGCCAAGGTGGTATTTTAGTAAATCTTAACAAATATGACTAATTTTATTTTTTACTGGCTTGCTCAGAAATGTGCAGTATTTTGACTATCCATCACTCGCTGAAATACTCTTCAGATCCTTCAATTGTGACTTGAGTATACTTTCCTTGTTGCTGCTGAGGTTGCCAATGTGCTTGAGCCTCCCCTTTTTTGGGCTGTGTGGGGGGGGGGTGCAGGGCAGTGACATTTACTTGTTTTTTTGTTCACTCCTCAATTCATCTCTTCTCGCTCATGGGGTGGGACAGCCAGTTCTCGAATTCAAGAAATACTAATTTTGAATTGATGTAAAAACCTTGCTTCAATGTACCCTTTCATCTTGCCTGATATGTCCAAACCCTGACATGCCTGATACCCGAGATGTCCAAAATGCCGAGTGTTAGTGGCTTTGCATGAATGTAAAAATATTAGCTTAGGTAATCTCTCCAACCCATTGTACCTTCTTGTAAATAAGTTTGTTTATAATTATTGGATCATGATGGAAGATCAGGCTCTCTGATGGGCTTTTATGGTGGGCCCAGACCAAGCTTCATCTCGGGGGCTCTATTGATTTTCTCCCTTTCCCAGGCTCTTCACTGGTAGGATTGACAAAGGCCTACCTTGCCACCCCCAAAACTCTCCTTCACCCACTGCTCTATGATCCAAAATGGGGAATCCTCTAATGCCATCAGTTGACACTTCCACCCATCCTTCCCTGTGTTTCCTGCCAGTAATGTCTCTTCTCCACCTCCCATCTTCATTATTCACGATGATCCTGTCTGACTCTTGGTCACATCTTCCTCCTCAACCGTTCCCTGTCTTTTGGCTTTCCCCAGCATATGGCTGTCTGGGCCGATGTCCATCTTCCTCCCAACTATCCTCATGTCACCTGCTCTTAATTCTCCCTTGCCACCTGAGAAAATGACACTCTCTCGGTACCTTGATGCTTCCACACCTGTCAGACACAAAACCCCGGTCCCTCTCTGGTAAGAAGGCACTAGTCTGATCTTTTTCATACATTTATTCCCATCTTCATATCAAAGAAGTCTGGTCTCGCTCTCAGAGTTGCCATCACCCTGATCCAGAGTACGGCAGCATTTCTCTTCAGCCAAACTCCTTCAACAACCCATCCCCGGGATCTGGACCCCGCCAGATCATGTGCACTCCTTGGCAAAAGTCTCTTGACCCAGCTATCCGATATTTCCCATACGCCCCAATTCGTGGTTTTATGCCAGGTTTTAATGAGCTGCAATTTTTGATTCTGCAGTTTTCATAACTTTCTTGAACATTGCATGGCTCTTCTTTTTTAATACTGTACTGCATTCATTTCCTTCTGTCCTCTACAGGACTTTCTGATAACTTTAATTTCACTTCTCCCTTGATCTGCAATGCTGTTACTTTTGTTCCCGTATTTCAGTCAAACGTATATTCTACTGCTGTGTGTACTTTTTAATTCATTTTGTTAGACAGGAAGCCTCTGCATACATATGCTTTACTTGTATAAATATTCCCTTTTCTCTTCCCCCCCCCCATCAGGTCGAACTAATGACCCTCCCCCTTCTCCCCCACCCCCTCCCCTTTTTTTTTTTTCCATGAAACCGACACCACCTAGGCTAATGTTTTTTTCTCCAACTGCATTCTGTGGACTTCGTGGTAATCTTCATTCTTCAAGAATTCATCTCTAAACATTAATCTCTACAGATAGGTACCTTTCAACGATGATGGCATTCCCCCTTCAATATGAAGGTAGTGTTCTGAGCACTAATATTTCTAGTTGTCCTAAATGGTCTCTCATCTTCCATTTCCACTGGTATTATTTCTTCCCTTTGTTGACAATATCTCTGACAATATCTCTGCTGGGATGACTTCTTCTTCCCACAAATGCCAGCTTGCGGTCAATAAGTTGTTCTGGCCCATCAATCATGGCTTAGTTCTCTAAAACTGGAACTCTTGTCACTTTTACTTGAAGGCATGTTGTGGCTCTGGTAGTCACCTTTTGTGTAGTGATAATGCCAAACTCTTTGGGTTGAGCTTTACACCCATTTGTGTCTATTACCCAATGTCACTCGCCTTTGAGTTAAATACTCAAAGGGTCTTGCCATATTTAATCTTGTCCCATACTTCCTGGAGAGCTAATAGATGTGTGTGCACTCTGTACTAGTTTTGTCCCGTTTAAACTCTTATGGCTGTCCCACACATTCCTCTGCCTCTCCCTTGACCCGTTGTCATCTGCTTGGATGCCTTCCATATCCTGCAAGGGTGGTTATTTTGCAAGATTCGCTCTAGAATTCTTGTAATATCTTGAAAGACTCTGACCCATATGGTGAAGGCTGATTTCCATCCTTTTTTTGACGAGCCTTATCCTTTGTATATTTTTTCCTCGCTCACACACTTGATCTATTCCCAGATGGATCCATGCCTGCTGGCAGTGTTGGCTTCTAAGGTATTTCTTGAGCTGACCTGTGTGCTTGCTTCCACTGAAGTTAGCATCTTTACAGCAGAATTTTATGCAATTTGTCTGCTGTCAGATGCCGCTTCATTATCAACATTCCTTTGTCATTGAATCTCCCGGTGCCCTCATTGCTCTGAAGTCTTTTAACCCTTTTGCATCCCGTAGTGATAAAAATCTAATGCTGGATATTTGTCTAGCAGATACGATGAAACTCCAATTCTGGGTAGCTATACAGTATTCAAAGCCATATTAGTTGCTTCAAAGGAACTTGTAGATATGCCACTTTAGATGCCGACCATGCTTGTGAAGTTTCCTGAAAGGGGATTACTTATTCATGTTTCTACTCGGTCATTCATTCTACAATCTCTTATTGTAATCTTGGACCGTTGACATAGTCATTGTGCTAACATTACAGGTAACAAACTGCATACTTTTAACACTTCAGCAATCCAACCTCTCCTCGGGTACCTGACTATAAACATCCTGGGCTTGCCAGGCTCCCTCAGCCAGTTTTCACTTCTACCTGAACTAGGAAGAAACCATGGCAACTAGTAGAGCCTTGACAAAATACAGGAAGAATTGGTAAATTTTGAATACCTATACAAGGCTACCATCTTGATTTCAAATTCTCAATATTTATACAGTATTTAAAATGTTAGCTGTATGGTAGTTTTCCACAGTATTGAATAGATATTTTGATAAAAAATGTTGGTCTTGTCACTGAAGTGGACTGTTAACAAGTTCTTATTAGTTTGAACTTGGTCATATTGTAATGAAACCTTGAAGCACTGGCAGGTAAATATCGCACATAGCATGATGCAGTACTGAAGGTGCAAGTAATAAATATTAGTTTCATTAATTACTGAACATTTATTTTTCACAGGTATGGATTTGAAGGAACGTTACTCAGCATATACGGGTTCGACAGAAAGCCTTTGCACTGCTCAGAGGCATACTGCCACTACAAATCGCCAAAAAAATTCCTTGAAGAAATGGACATAGCAGGGGCAGAGTTCTGGGTAGATTTTGTAGTCCTTTTTGCATTTTTCATCTTCTTGCGAACAGTAGGCTACTTTGTTCTGCGGTGGAAACTAAAGGCAGAACGTTAAGTTTTGACAATATAATGGTCCCCCAAGTTTAGTTGGTGAATGTTTGGAATGTTAAATACTGAACGTCAGTGTGAGCTGCTTGAAATGGACAAATACTAGAAAACTTGAGTGGCCACTTTGGTGCCTGGTGTGATAAAAAAAAAAAGGGGTTAGTGAACCACAAATGGAAAGTGTAGTCTTTCATTGTGCATTGTACGTGTTTTACGGTATGTGAAATTCTTCTGGAAAGTGTATACATTGGATGCAGCTATTTTTTCATAGTCTTCTCCTGTAGGCATTTCCCTGGACTCGAATAGCTTACAGGCAGAAGATTCTTGATCATGATTACATTAACAAGGTTGTAGTCTTCCAGGTGAAGGTTATAGCATGATGGTAGCATTATGAACTGCTGCATAGAGCTGCTAATGTCCCAGTTCTTAGAGTTGAAACAGTGCCAGGGAAATATACTTTCAATGATGCCAGTCATTAAAAGTATATTTTAAAGTTTAAATTTTTAAAGGAAAAGTACACTTGAGCTCCATTTTATGTTGATCCTCAGGGTGAAGGTGGTTTATTGTGGAGGAAAAGTGTTCTAATTATAGAAAGTGACGACGTTACCTTGGATCGGCTGAATTCTTCATTGAGAAGGCTTTCCACAAGAGGTACTCGACTACTGCCGACATGCATTTCGTAGCTTCCTTTGTGCGTGAATTGGCACCGTTTTATAATTTTAACGGTTGCAGTATTTGTTATAAAAATTGTTTTAAATCTTGACACATGTTCCTTGGCTCTGTTCAAAAATGTGATGCAGCAAGGCAAGTACTCTTAAAGAGTTGGGCATACTTATAACATCGGTTTATTTTATTTTGGTCATAGTTCTTGACAAACCTGCAAGAATCTTTGGGCCGGATGTGGAATAGACGAGGGTTGTGCCATGTAGTTATTCCTGGATTACTGTGACAACTTGTGGAGTAGTTTTACTTTATCTCCAAAGTAAAATTGTAAGCCTTGCACATCACTTTGTACATTAAAGAAATTTAGTTTTTAGTAGGGTGAATGTTGGAGGCATGTATATAATTATCATAATGAAGTTTAGCTTCAAAACACGCAAATTCCCAGCAAATTTTGGTTAATTTTTAACTACAGTTCAGTTAATTAAAAATTAAAATGTTAAGATACTGAATTTGGATTGCCGTGACTCCTAAATCTGGAAGGCACTAATGTAAATAAGCTTGTCTGTTGCCCTGTTAACATTACCCTTTCCAGGGTAATGTGTCAATCATTTATGGTTCCTTGACCAATATCATAAATTCAGCTGCTAGTCTGTTTGCTGGGTATTTGATTAAACTTGCCAATTTCCACAACTCGCCTTCTCATTCTTTGACTTCCATGAAATCAAATGACTGGGATATACTTATGTACAGTGAGATTGTATTGGTTTTTAATAAGTATATTTCATAAGGACTGTATCCTTTGTATACTAGTGTATAGAGGATGAATGGCATTGTAACTGTGATTTAATTCTTATAAAGATTTTTTTTGGTAGGCAAACAGTTTATTGAACTCCCAGGGGTCATATAAACTTGTACAGTAATTAACACTTGTTTGTTGTGCCCTAATCACCAAGATTTAAAACATAAGATTTCAGAGTTATTTGACAAAATTCTTTTGCCTAGGACTTTCATGCAAACTAATAGGTTTGTTTTTGCAAACAAATTGGCAAACGTTTGCCAATTTGGTTTTAATTTGCCATATAACTTGTTTGGCTTAACATGCAGGAATAACGCTCAGATCACTATTTTGCTTATACCATATAATGAAATTTTACACATTCCACTTTTAGATTTTGTTGATGGCTCTAAATTGTGGCTTTCTAAAAATTTAAATTTACAATATAGAGTAAAAAAGAATGTCTATGAAGTTAATGTACACTAAGTATAATTCCTACAGATTACTACATAAACACTGAAATAATAATGATTGGCTTTGTCAACCTAAGGGCAATGTCTCTCAATATTGTAATGGTCGTCCAGCTACATGAAGTGTGGGTGGTTGTTGACTCTATGCATTGTGCCTCTTTAGTATAGTTAATGAGAAATCTCATGCAAACAACACAATCTCTGGGTCCATTATAATAATCTGATGGCTTTAAACAGATTTAAGCCAATAATGCTTTCCTAAGGCTCATTTTCCTTTTGGACAGATTCCCCCTAGGAATACTAAAGTAGCCATGGCTTGGACATTTGATAATTTGCTAATAATAAATTGATTTTTGCACCTTTGCACAATATATACCATGTAAATAAATGTGCCTTTTTGAATTCTCTATTTATGGCAATGTCACTAAGACTGTCACAAAGCATAGTTTCTAGATATTAAGAGTAGATATAAATTTTAGATCTGGACAAATTCCTATTAGTACTTGATCATTTTTGTTGTAGAAAAAATTATTTAAAAATCTGTGCGAGAACTATAGGTTGAATAACTTTCAACCATGAAGAATGACCAGACTGACAATATTTTTAATGTTCTGAAACTTGAGCCTAAAGCTTCATTAGTAACAGCAGTAGGTTAGAGCAAACAAGAAGTCTTGTGATGGGGGTGGATTATTCTGTTGCAGCATAATATTAGTGAATTAATATACAGAATGTAATCCTTTAGCTGCAATGTGTGCAGCTATGTTTACAAAATTACTCATTCCAATTGCTTCTCCAAATCTGATGTTACATGTTTATTATAAATTTTAATGTAGCTTAAACTTCTGAATAAAGGTTAGGTTTTGATACATTGGTCTTAGAATTTTGTGAAGTTATTTTGATGAACCGTGGGACGACAAATTAATGTATCTAGCATAATAATGAAAAGCGAATCTCCTGTACCAGGAATAAATGTCTGAATTGGGGTAAGATGTTGAGACTTGTGTAAGAGTTTTGTACAGGTTAATTTGTATTCGTATTTTCATAATGTTCATAATTAACTGCTCGGTGCTTACCGAGGCCACGTCATAACTTGCCTGAACATTGGATTTGACAATTGTGGCTGGATTTAGAAAATGGGTTATACATTAACCAGGTGCGTTGTAAACCCACAAGACACACGTAAGGGAAAGGGGGTGGGGGGAGGTGGTTTGTTTACAGAAAACTTGGAAGCAAATTTTGTCCATAAAAATTTTTGGCTTGTAATTCAAATAATAAGTTAAGGTATCTTCAGCTTGTATGCCAAGGTAGAGCTGCATACAGTATCTGCTCTCTCAACTTGTATCCTTTGGAACACTTGAGAAACACTAGATTTTTTATGAATTTTAATTTCTTGGCTACATAGATGGAGCAGTTTTTTGTAAATATTGATCGAATTTTAACTGTACAGTATTCGGCAGTAAAAAAAAAAAAAAAAAATTCCCCATATTTTATTGTTTTGTATAATTGGTATTTTAATGTCTTTCATGGACCAAGAATGAAAGTGTTTACTTTGTTGGGCACATAATTTTCTTGTACATATACATTGTCATGATCAGCAGCAGTATTTTTGTTAGCCATATCAAAGGTAAATGTGTACATTTGGCTGCTTGATACTTCTGTATGCAGTGCATTTACTACAATTAATAGAAATAAAAATAAATTCAAAGACTATTGTTTTAAGACCCAAATGTTAAGTTTGGTAAATTTTCACGTTTTTGAAGGTCAAATATAGAAACTATTGTTAAATTAGACTTGACTTTATTCTTATTGTCTGTTTAATTGAATTGGTCTTTATGGTAACTTTAATGCACTACTTGGAATTTCTGCCTCTTTGCCAGGAACAGTTGCCTAGTGCTCATCCTGGTCACCTCGTGTTGTATCGACCTCCAGTTTTTACTAGTGCTCTTGTCTTGACCGCTTTCGTAATCCAGAATTTTACTTTTACATTTTCTCTCTAAATTAAATTTTCTATTAGATTTAATTTAGTTAATTTTTCTTCATTAAATTTTTATTTAATTCTACTGAATTGCATGTTCACTTTCACAAACTGTGGTAGATGGTTGGAACAAGTGAGAAGGTGGAGACCAAAACGGTAGTTTCAAAGCATTACACGAGTGTTAGGAAGATGGGACGCCCCAAGCATAGCGCTCTTCCTTTTACGTTTGGGTAATTACATTATGTACAATACATTCTACTCTCCCTCCGCATCTCTTAAACTTGTTACTTGAGCCCATCCTTTTAGGGGATTTCTAACATGCAATTCCTATGGGGTGATAATCTGGGGCCAGATTCACGAAGCAGTTACGCAAGCACTTACAAACCTGTACGTCTTTCCTCGGTCTTTGGCAGCTTTGTTTACAATTATTAAACGGTTAATGAGCTCCAAAGCACCAGGAGGCTTTTTATAACAGTTGATTGGCAAGATTTCATGCTTGTAAACTGTTTAATAAATGTAACCAAACCCGTCAAAGATTGCAGAAAGATGTACATGTTTGTAAGTACCTGTACTGTACTTGCGTAACTGCTTCATGAATCTGGCCCCTGGTCTTTTTAAATCGGTCCTCATTTTGACTTGCAGAATTTTGAAGAGCAGGCTCATAATTATTTAATAACCTAAAGTAATTGCTGAAGTGTAATTACAGGATGAGAGCTTTGTTCATGGTGTCCTGTCTTCCCAGCAGTGTAGGCACTTGGTAACAATCAGTCCAGTAACCTGAAAATCTCTAATCTGCAAGATTTTAGATTAAAGTTTTTCTTGGTATTTTTAACCAAAATTATATTTAGTTAGGTGTTTTAAGGTTAAGAAATCTGAATATTTGGCTACCTATGCTCATACAAATTACATTAAAACATTGAATTGATAAACAAAGCAAATGTAATATTACGACAAATAAGACAAAGAAAATACATGTACAGGCTGAACATTTGATTTCTCCAAAAATATAGGAATTTTTTCTTAAATCATGTGTGACTGGGTCAAGGAAGACTGGAATGGTATAGCAAAGCCACACTCGGCCATACCATTACAGATCCCCACACTCGCTACTGGCATCAGTGATTACTAACACCCACACACCACTTACCACCTATAGGGTGAACACAATCGAGTCATGATCTAATAGTGTGTGACTGTGGGTCATGAGGATATAGAGCCACCTCACTTGGAAACAGTCATTTTCACAGCAACACCATCCTACTGAATCCCTACACACTACTGTAGGGATAGGGATGTCTATCAATATTCTATCAATATTTGATAGAGACAAACCTCTCTATCTTCTATCTTCTAGCTTTGGCAGATTTAATGCCTCTAGCCTCTCTTAAGATATGGGCTCCATACAACCACTGCATATTCAAATTTGGGTCTCGCAAAACTCGTGAACAGTTTCTGTATTTCACCATCTATATATTTAAAAGCAATTCTAAAGTTAGAAAACATAACATATGTTAGTCACACTGTCTTTCGTGTTCCTCTGGTGACAGTCTAATATCCAGAACCACCCCTAGATCTTTCTTTGTCAGAGTTTTTTAATGCCTTTCCAAGTAATTTGTAGATTGTGTCTAGTGTATTTTCTCCAATTCCACATTCCATAATGTGGGATTTCTTTATATTGAATTCCATTTACCAACTGTTGCTCCATACACTCATTTCTTCTAGGTCATCTTGAAGGACATGACAATAATTTAAGTCTCCTCCCTAGTAGCTTAGCATAATCAACAAACATGATTATATAATTCTGAAATTCCTTCCGGTAGATTGTTTGTGTAGACTATGAACATTACTGGTGAAAGAAATGAACCCTGTGGTACTTTGCTAGGAACACACACAGTCTGAAACTGTATGTTGCTTCTGATGACTGCCCTCATTTTTCAATAAAAAAAAGTTTGATCTAGGTTTGCAGTCTGCCTGTCATCCCTACAGCATGTTCCAGTTTGCAAAGCTACCTTTTGTGACATTGTCAAAACCCATTTTTTTTCCAGATCCAGATAAATGCAGGCAACCCCACCATCTCTTTCCTGTAGAATCTATGGCTATATCATAAATACTAAGTAGGTTTGCTACACAGGATCTCCCTTTTTGGAAACCTTACTGTCTGTTGTATATTTTTTCTCCAGGTACCTATCCATTTGGCTTAAAAAAAATTCTAGTGTTTTGACTACCATGCTTGTCAATGATAAGGGTATACAATTTAGAGGTCTTCTATGCTACCATTTTTGTAGATTGGGGGAAGGTGTGTGTGTTTTATTTTTAATAAAATTAGGGATACACAGCAATGTGCTGCTGCCCTATTCTGTATGAGATATTACAGTGTAGATCAAAAACTAGCTATAAGTTCATCCAATATTCCCATCTCACAGGCTGGTTAGTCATACATGGAACCAAGGGAGAAAATATCAGCCTCAATACAAAAACAAATCAACTAAAAAATAAAAACAAATGACTAAATAGCAGGTGAGAACATAAAATGTAAGTGCGCATCAGCTATTAGCCCCCACTAGTAAAATCTGGGTACAACATAAGAATATCTTCCAATATTTCTGAGTGTATGAAATAATTTCAGAGCTCAAAGTACCTCATACCATTAGGTCTGAAGTCACTTATAACAGGGCAATCACAGATATAGTGTTGGAGAGTATGTCCCAGCTCTTGTTCACATAGTTAACAATTGGAATGTTCACCATTGGGAGAGTTATTACTTGTAGCCACCTGGCATAGATATCCCAGTCTAATTCTAGCAATTACAATATCACAGTCTAGTGGATGTTTTATGCTGCCCGTACATATAATTCTCCATTCTAAACATGGCATTGCTCTTTATACTTGTGCTTTCTAGTCTTTGTGTGTCAGGGACTGCTCTTCTATGAAGGGTGAGATGGGGGTGTGGGGAGGGTGCGTGATGATGGGATCGCGGTAAACTGTGTTTGAGATGGAGAAGTTGTGTGGGAGGAGGCGGCAGGAATGATTGGTCTGGGGAAGAGTAGGGAAAGGTGTAGATGGGTGTAGGTGTATGAGTGTGCGTGTATGTGTGGATGTAGGTGTATGAGTGTGCGTGTATGTGTGGGTGTAGGTGTATGAGTGTGCGTGTATGTGAGGGTTTAGGTGTATGTATTCACCTAGTTGTTCTTGCGGGGGTTGGGCTCTGTTCTTTCGGCCTGCCTCTCAACTGTCAATCAACTGTAACTAACTACTAATTTATTTATTTTTTCCCACACACACATACACACACACAGACAGACACCCCAGGACGCAGCTGCTACATGTATATAGTTTAGATGTACAAGATGGAGAGAGTATGAAGATGTAACAATAATAATAATAATACTATTTAATCATAAGATAAGCACATTTATAAAACATAATACAGTCTGTTCACCCAGGTGAACAGGGGTTCCATACAAAATAGTCACAATACAATGTGTATTGAAGACAGCAACAGTGATGGAGAAAGACAAGGAGGAAGTTTGTGTGTGTTCTGGGCACTGGGTCGTCCCGGGCACCGCCGGGTAACCCACTACTAGGGTTATAACCCTATAGAACTACCTACCTGTGCAAGCTGTTAATGCTAAGACATTACTATAGTTTAAAATCCTGATAAAATTTACCTGAATTTACCTGGGGCTACTGAAACACTAATAGCCTCGACGAGGACAGGAAAACGGCGGCTTGTCAAAAAGTCGCCCCTCCCCCCCATTTGCCCTGATTTTTTGACTAAATGTCTAGCTTTTCTCGTTATTAATCTAAATGTTTCCCATAGTTAAAATAACAGTTTGTTTTATTTGTGTTAATTTTTATGTTTCATTTGTAAGTGTGTGCAAGTATGTTAAATTGAGCATTAGTAAATGTATATACTTTGTGTGTGTAAAGTTTTCCCGCGCGTTTTGGTGAGGGCGCGCGCGCACCCGCCAAGGACAGAGACGGGCGAGACTTCGCCCAGGGCGGGTGTGTGAGGGGTGCGCTCGTCAGGCGCCCCTCTCACTGTGTCTGGCTATTTCCTTCAGTTACCCCACTGTACTTAACTTCCCTCGTCCATCTGGTAAGTGAAACTTTTCCATGATGTGTCTGTACAAGATAGGTGTGACGCGGGTTGTTATGCCCACAGATAAGGTCTTTATTTGTCGATGTTAACAAGCATTTACCAGTCTTCTGACCATTTGTGGAGTTCATGTAGATCTCTCTCTGTAAGGCTTCAATATCATTTTCATTTCCCACTTTACCATGAATATTTGTCATCTGCAAAATTGATCACGTGGCTTGTAATATTCTCATCTGTCATTTGATGTACTGTATGTTTAACACTTCTCTAACCCTGTCCATGGAGGACAGAAGAAAATGTATATATGCTGGTTAGCATTGTAAATGTGTGGCCACGTCTGTGGTAGAAAATAATAAAAAAAAAAAAAAAAAAAAAAAAAAAAATTGATGTATATGAGGAAAAAGGGTTGGTCCTAAAATGGACCTCCTAGGTGGTAACGCACTAACTACATTTCTCCAATCACGTTCATTCCCATTTAGTACGACCTTTCGATGTCTTGGTTTTAACCACTGTTTTATCAATTGTAGTATTCTGCCATTTATTCCATGTACCTGTAATTTCTTTGCCAGTCTTTCATTTGGTACGTTTTCAAAGGATTTGATAAAATCCAGGTATACTACATAACCTTTTG